TTTATATGCATTATTAAATACATTCTTGTGGGGACACGGTAAGAGAAAATATCTTACCACAATGTACAGTAGTGGTTTAGTAAGATTTTTAGTCCATAGTTTAATACCTGATACAAATATCCAATGAAAAGGCACGTTTACAAAACAGTAATCATATCCCCACTTCCTCAAACATGATCTAAACAGAGCTTTACAAACCGGTACAAAAACAACGAATACAACACACAATATTTAAGAAAAATAAAGAAGCAGACTATAATTTTGTTCTCTCCCTGCAGCTCTCATATTGAAAAATTGGCTTCAGGATGAGACTTTTTATTGTAAATGCTTGCCCTACAGTTCTTTTATTATCCAAAATAAAGGCACTAACAACTATAAGATTATAAATTGTGAATGAATCTTTTCTTGTGTTCTTCTATTCAGCAACATTCAGTATTTTCACTCTTTATTTTGTCAGGATGATTCAGAGAAAAAACCGACTAACGACAGATTCCATCAAGTTCATCTTTCGTGCTGGCTTCTTTTTGTGCTTTCCGGCCACTGGTGCACGCAGCAGTGTGTGCGTTCTGGCGATGAGGCACGAGCCTTCCATTTTGCATGTTGTGCGGGGCTGTCCTGTCTGTTCGCTCCGAGTTACATGTGCAGCACTCTGGTAGTAGTAACAGTAACGTCTGCTGGGCTGCAGGAGCTATCTGCGCCGCTGCCGACCCACTCTGGCATTCTCTGTGCTTGGGCGTCCGTTCCTCTGTTGGCCCATTGATTTTCTCCAAAAGGTTGACATGCGCTTTCTCTTCACTGGAATGTAATGAGTGCCCGCCTTCTAAATAAGCTGTTAGAGAAATGTTATTAATAACTGCCGAGTCCTGCTTCCAGAACAGACTGCTCCCGAGCATCAAGGTAAGGAAAAGATACGCTGCCACCTGTTTCCATCCACGCTTCACTAGCTTCTGCTTGTACTAAAAGAGGAAAAAGTAAAACCAATTTTTAATCAAAAGGTCTCTGAAAATGTGTATTGTGTTATTCATAATGAGCAAGCTATTGCTGACCTATTAAAGGAGAAAAACCACATCAAAATATACAAGACATTTTTCCGTCATTCCTTAAAGAAGTCAAGAATCAACAAGTGCGTGCTTTGCCTACGTGTTTCCTCTTCTGTCCTGAAGAAGAACCATCCTGTTGGATGCCGGCGTCCAGCAAGCTCAGGGTTTTCTTTGGACAGAGAGACCAGCTGAAACGGTTCCTCTCGACTGTCCCGGCCACGGAATTAAAACGCCTGTGATGTTTTTGTGTAACCCATCGAGGCCACTGGGGCGGAAGAAGTTAGAAAATGTGAGGCAACAAAAGAGCCTGTAAGTGACAGAACGGGACAATGTACTTAGATAGTAAAAGGGGAAATTCAAACAAAACACTTTCTGTGCTAGTCACGCTCAAAGGAGTGTAAGATGAATGAGTAATTTTAAAGGTCCAAAACTATCTGTAAGAAAAATAAACAGTATTTCACTCTAGATCAATAAAATAACATCCATGTGCTGTCCTAAGAGTTGCCCATATTATTGTCGGTTCAGGCTTGTAACTATGGAGGCACATGCTGAAGTCCGGGGAAAGGGGTGTCTAGATATCGAGACTCGATTTTCAAATTTATAACTGCCATTTTTTTTCCCTCACACATGAACTGATTAAAGGCTGAACAAGATGACTGTAAATACAGCATATACATTTTAGGAATCCATGGTAACCACAGAGTTCAGAAAGTGGCCACTGTTGTAATCTTTTTCCAGCTTCAAAAATTAAACTAGTTTTAGTTTAGTTTAGCTTATTTACAAAAAGCACGCATCATAAAAAGACAAAGGCGAAAAAAGAGAAGATCAAACATAATGTTACTATAGGCAGGTAGATTGTGTGCAGTGATGGATGTGGAGATGTGGCTTCACTTTTGAATTTTGTGCGGATTGCGGGAAAAATTTAACTTTTTAAAAAATTCACAAACTTTTTCACACAAATTAGGCCACTAAACCTCAAATGTAAGGCAGATCACTGTATCCACACAATGGCGACGAGCTGCCATACGAAAGATTCTACACCATGATCCTTATTATTGTTCGAAGTTTGTTAACACAAAGAGCTCGCCCAGAACTTGGATCGTTCTCTTACGTGGCTGTGGTTGAATATGCTATGACTTTTACCCGCCATAACTGGCACGCTGTCTACACAGAACGACTAAAAATCCACTGACCTAATTTGTATATCCACTGCGCTAAGTGGGTCACACAGTTGCCTTAAGAGTGTGGTGTGTCATATCAGGCATAAAACGTCATAAAAACATCATAGTATGGTAAGGACTTTTCTGGTGACTTTAGGTACTACTGTCATAATCTGACATGACGTGAGCCTTCATATAGCCCCTTTCAGTCAATCAAATGCTTGCATGCCTAAATCGGTCTTGGAGACGTAGCCTTTTGGTGGGCACATTGGAATGATCTAATATGGGTTCACTCCAAACACAGTGCGAACGAGGAAGGAGTTCACTCCAATATGGTAGGGACAATTCTGTACTCCCAAAATATTGATAGGGACATGTCCCTACTGTCCATATGCAAACCTAGGCCCTTGCAATATAATCATTTATACAACAGTTAGTCCCGACCAAGAAATTTAATTGAACGAGAGGTATTCCATGAGTGCAGATATCATAGACATGAATACATCTCCGCATTGGTCGCTTCAGCCCATTGCTGCGATACGTCAACGTCGCCGCCATATTGGTTTGGGCAAGACTGCCCCCGTAAACAAATAGAAATAAACTGAGGAGCTGCAAGTTTTCTGGATAAAAAGCTTTATAATGTTTATATTTCTCAACCAATTTCAATGAGTCGTTTTTATATTCAAGGGTTTATGATCTACGTGCAGTAAAAAAATTTCCCAGTTAATTAGAATCGAGACAGTTTAAGCTGTAATCACTGCTTTCCATAAGCAGCTGCGTATCAACGTAAAGGTTTACAGGAAGTGAATAAGGCTACATGGTCGAAAATAATTAATTGTCATAAGGAATTGTTAAAACTAGTGAGTAAAATCAATGAAATGAAATAAAATAAATGGAATAAGAGAAAGAACATGAGTTAGTGGGGTGTAGTAGTAGTACAATAATATATAACTGTATAGGGCAGCTGTGTATCATATTATTATTATTGTACAAATCCATAGTGAGGTGTAACAACATCTTTTAATATTTTAGTAGCACGATTCTAAGTAACTAGAGACCAAACTTTTATTTTCACTGTACATATATCATAAACCCTTGAATATAGAAACGACTCACTGAAATCGATTGAAAAATATAAATGTTATAGAGCTTTTTATCCAGAAAAACTGCAGCTCTTCCGTGTACTTGCGCTTGTTTGCAGGGCAGTCTTGGACCAATATGTCGGCGACGTTGGCGTACAATCCAGTGACCAATGCGTCTTGTACGTGTAAGTGTTAATTGTTAGCACTACACCTGCTAAACATGAGCACCATTTTTATTATGAGCTTGTTAGCATGCTGACATTAGCATTTAGCTGTAACCACCAAAGTGGTGGAATATATGATGCTGTATTTAAAGATGACAAGTGACAACTAATTGCTGCATACAATATGAAAATGAAGTTAATCTGTCACATATGGTGATGTATAAAATTTGTGAATGAGAGAAGCTTTAACAGCCTAAGAAAGAGGAAATTCTGGAGATGCAAGATTTTTTTGCAGTTAGGGCAAAACAACGATATTACGTTACCATAATCAGAAATTGCAGATTCCCTTGGACGTTCAAATTAATATGTTGTGTGGCTGCAGCACATGGTGGTTCATTTGATCCTGTTCTCCATGATATGTCCTAGTACAGCACAGATTTAGTTGTATATTACTGTAACTGACACTGTCTGTGTAAGGAAGAAAATGTATGTATGACCGCGCAAATGATAACAGACTGGTACAGTAGGACAGTATTATATGTAGTTGACAAAATAAAGGCACTTTGACAGACTGGATCCCGCACAGATCATGTTTAGGAATTAGGACAGAATCATCATGTAAGCAAATACAGTGTAAGTGCTATGCCTGCATTAACTCTGTGGTATAGTAAACTGCCTCTTTAACATTGTCAGGTCTTACTGGAAGATCCTACTGCTGTCCAGCCTTATGAAAGGATGAAGTCAAGAACAATGTGACCCTTAAGTCCCTCCTAACCATCCACCCCACCCCACTAAAAGCTCCTGACCCAACTTACATGTCCTCATTTGTGCTTCTTTCTGAAAAGAGACAGTTAAGGGTTTTGTTTACTCACCAAACCCTTCAGGCTTATGCCTACCCCAGTCCTCAAGCTGCTGCTGCTGCTGCTGCTGCCAGTTAACTGGTAAGATGAGTCTTTTGTTGACTTACCTAAAATTTAACAAGTCACAAACACCACACCCACGCTAACACTGTCTGCAGGGCTGCCTCTCAAAACCTGGGATAGAAAATCTTCTTTATTCTACTGAAAGTTCTGTACACATCAGGACACTGAGCTTCACACACAGCACCATACACACACACAGACACACTGTGTATCTCAGCAGGGCAGGGGACAGGAGCGGAGGGCAGATAGTGGACTTGGAACTACAGAAACTTTGAGACCCATCCTGGTGAGTGTCTGTGTTGATTTGTAAAACTTTTTAAAGATATGTGAAACCATATTATTGGTACTGTATTAGTGAGTTTCATCTGGGGACAGAAGATTGGTAGATTTTTAATGTGCTACAGTGACTAATAGTAACTGATGGTGGTACCATATGGTGGTAACACTGATGTAGTTAGTGGGTTTGTTTTGTACCTTAAAGAACACAACTATGAAAATACTAGTCTCAACTTTTACCAGCCATATGTTCATTTTAGGTTACAGTCTATTCTTCTTCTAATTGTACTAATTCTGTTTCCAGTGTATCAGGGAGACCACTCTCTGAACTCCTGCCCTCCATCATCAGTCCACCATGGGCCAGACCATCAGCAAACCCACTTCTAACCCCTCACAGAGCTCAAAATTCTTCTTCTCTTTGAGACGCACCCCACCCAGCCAACCGACCTTCGATCGGAACATATCCCCTCGACCGAGCATCTTCTCCACGCTGAGGAGGCCCCCGGTTGTCAAGCCCAACGATTTCATACCTCTATTCAACGAATGCATCTCTGCCGCCTCGTCTAGAACCCAGGAGTACCTCCTATTCAAGGACCCGGAGGACAAGTTCCACCCGAGCCCTGAGGTGCTGACTCAGGTATGTACATTGATCAATTATATGCTTTGATCATTAACTATCTGGAGGTATCAAACTGTTTCATAGTTGTCTGTTATCTTCCCACAGGTCTTCCTGATGACCTACATCTCCCAGAGTGTCTGCCTCAACATGACGGACACCTTCAACTGCACAGCCATGACACCCGAGCAGCGCATCCTTCTTGGGGCTGACTGGGTCTGGGCCGTGCTGGAGAAGCCCACCAAGAACCCTCGGATCCAGATCGCGGTGCAGGTCCTACACCTGCCGGAGAGAGAGGACGCTGAGGAGAATGGCGTCCCCTCAGAGGCCTGCAGTGAGTCCCTACAGATGGCCCAGATGGAGTCCAGCAACAGGACTGTGTACGAAAGATTAGTGGACTTCTGCACCTCCATCGGCAAGGATTGCTACGCCCTCTTTTTGTTCTTTGGGAAGAAAAACGACAAGGAGAACATCTATGGAGTCCTCAGCAACAATTTTGAGGCAGCCATTGGGAAGTGCAACAAGATTGACAGACCATTTATTGAGAACTTCTTCAAAGGTTCGAGGTATCTCCATACACCTTCGGGAATGATGCAGGCTATTGTCACCAAGAGAGAGGGGGATCCTCTCACTCTTATGATTAAATTTAGCTGACCCAAAGAGACTCTGTATAATTTTGATGACCAATAACATGATACAAGACCACAGTAATACAATTTATGTTAAATAAGTGTGGAAGTTTTTGATGTGTCCCTTGATAAACGACATCCCGTCTTATTAAAATGTTGAGTTTGATAACGTGAGAGGCCTTTGAAAGAAAATGATTACTTAGTCATGTTTTCTAATCCAGAAACTCAACTCAAACACATAATTTAAACACAAGAACAAACATACTGCAGTTATATGCAAGTTTAGAGAGCATGGTGCATGGTGCTGTTATTTCCTGCGCACCTCTTACGGTCAAAATTATCACAGTGGAGAATTGTCACACACAGGTGTAACTAATAACAATGATGGCTGACATTTTTTACTTCAAGGTCCTTGCTATTGTACATACTGTTACTGGTTTGACTAAACCTAAATGGAACAGAGCCGTCATTAGTGTTATTAGTTACACCTGTGCTTTTCCTGCTCGGACAGGTTAAAATATGAAAAAATGAAAATTAACACTAAAAAAGCCTGAAAATAAATTGTGGGATTTCCTCCATTTCACAACCCAGAAAAAGTGAACTAGGGCAGCCCCCTCCAAACCACCTAGGGAAAGGGGAATATTTCCTTTAAAGTCCCAAAACAGACAAAAATAACCATGAAATGATTTTACACACTTGCAATCATCCATGTTTTTGTCACCAGCTACCTGCTGTGTGTGGACAATATGTAAATCTGAGTTGAATCGAGGCTTGCTTTACAGTGATGTTTTGCATAAGCAGCTTGAGCTAAATGATTTTGCATGAACTATTCTGCTGGTTGGAAGAGGGCTCGATTAGTCCATAAGTACTTTTACCTGGAACAACTGCTCTCGAGGGGATTTTCTTATGTTCTTTAAATTTGCATCACATATTGCCGCGGCTTAAAATGATGGCTGAGTGAACTGTTTCCGCGAAGAGTGAGTGTGTGTGGTACATCTAATTTTAGGTGCAGTCGCTGTGAAACATGTTTAAAAAAAAAAAGCGACTGATGTGTCATTTCTTTCAGACTCACACAATGGCACAGAAAATACATTCTCAAGAGATTTATAACAGAGAGGGTTAGAAAACATCTTTTGTCTCTTTAATGTCTTTTGTCTATAATATTGTTTTAATGTTTTTGTCTACTGTAATATTGTTTGAATGTTGTTACCATAGTAAACCAATGGAAAAAAGCACACTATTAAAATATTTTCTGCCAACATTTATAAAAATGAAACAAATAACAGTGCATTGTTGTTGTGTTTTATATAGTTTGTACTTTTTTATAAAATATTTTGTGTGACAATGTCAAAGACCTTTAAAAGAGAATTTAAGGGAAATTTGTTCTCCTGAATACTGAAGTCCTGATCAGATCTATCAGATCTACAGTTAGACCCAAAGCTTCTAAGAAGGCTGTAAAATGCACATGGCATCAGCAGTAGTTAGCTTTAAGCTAACTAAAAGAATAAAGTGTGTCACGATTCAAATTCAGCTGAAAGCTGTAGAAATGATGCCAGGGTGGAGGCCATGATTTAGCAGATTTTGTGTTTTTTATATGATTATTAAATACATTCTTGTGGGGACACGGTAAGAGAAAATATCTTACCACAATGTACAGTAGTGTATAAGATTTATTTACCATAGGTTAATACTGTATACAAATATCCAATGAAAAGGCACGTTTACAAAACAGTAATCATATCCCCACTTCCTCACATGACTAAACAGAGCTTTACAAAAGGTACAAAACAACAATACAACACACAATATTAAAAAATAAAGAGAGAGACTATAATTTTGTTCCTGCAGCTTCATATTGAAAAATGGCTCAGGATGAGACTTTTTATTGTAAATCTGCCCTACAGTTTCCTTTATTATCCAAAATAAAGGCAACAACTATAATTATAAATTGTGAATGAACTTTTTCTTGTGTTCTCATCAGCAACATTCAGTTATTTTCACTCTTTATTTGTCAGGAATGATTCAGAGAAAAAAGACTAACGACAGATTCCATCATAGTTCATCTTTCGTGTTGGCTTCTTCTTTGTGGCTTTTCCGCCCACACGTGCACGCAGCAGTGTGGTCGTCTGGCTGAGGCACCAGCTCCATGTCTGCATGTTGTGCGGGCTGTCCTGTCTGTCGCTCCGAGTACATGTGCAGCACTCTGTAGTAGTAACAGTACAGTCTGCTGGGCTGCAGGAGCTCTCTGGCCGCTGCCTGACCCACTCTGGCCATCTCTTGGGCTTGGGCGTCGTTCTCTTTGGCCCATTTGATTTTCTCCAAAAGGTCTGACAGGTTTCTCTTCACTGGAATGTAATGAGTGCCCGCTTCTAAATAGCTGTAGAAATGTTCATAATACTGCGAGTCCTGCTTCAGAACCAGACTGCTCCCGAGCATCAGGTAAGGAAAACGATACGCTGCCACTGTTCCATCCACGTTCACCTGGTACTTGTACTAAAACAGAGGAAAAAGTAAAACCAATTTTTAATATAAAGTTCTGAAAATGTGTATTGTGTTTATCATAATGAGGCTATTTGTGACTATAAAGGAGAAACCACATCAAAAATATACAAGACATTTTTCCTCACCTTAAAGAAGTCAAAGAATCCAACAAGTGGTGCTTTGCCTACGTGTTTCTCTCTGTCCCTGAAGAAGAACCATCCTGTGATGCCGGCGTCCAGCAGCTCAGGGTTTTTCTTGGACAGAGAGACCAGCTGAAGACGTTCCTCTCGACTGTCCCGGCCACGGAAAAACGCCTGTGATGTTTTGTTAACCCACGGAGGCCCTGGAAGAAGGTTAGAAAATGTGAGGCACAAAGAGCTGTAAGTGACAGAACGGGACAAGTACTTAGATATGAAAAGGGGAATATCAAACAAACACTTCTGTGCTTAGTACCCAAAGGAGTGTAGATGAATGTAGATTTAAAGGTCCAAAACTATCTGTAAGAAAATAACAGTATTTCACTCTAGATCAATAAAATAACATCCATGTGCTGTCCTAAGAGTTGCATATTATTTGTCAGGGTTCAGCTTGTACTATGAGGACATGCTGAGCCCGGGGAAAGGGTGTCTAGATATCGAGACTCATTATTCAAATTTATCAACTGCCATTTTTTTCCCTCACACATGACTGATTATAAGGCTGAACAAGATGACTGTAAATACAGCATATACATTTTAGGAATCCATGGTAACACAGGTCAGAAAGTGGCCACTTGTAATCTTTTTCCAGCTTCAAAAATAAACTAGTTTTTAGTTTAAGTTTAGCTTCTTTACAAAAGCACGATCATAAAAAGACAAAGGCGAAAAAGAGAAGATCAAACAAATGTTACTATAGCAGGTAGATTGTGGCAGTGATGGATGTGGAGATGTGGCTCACTTTTGATTTTGTGGGATTGAAAATTACTTTAAATTCACAAACTTTTCACACAAATTAGGCCACTAAAAACCTCAAAATGTAGCAGATCACTGTATCCACCACATGGCGACGAGCTGCATACGAAAGATTCTCACCATGATCCTTTATTATTGTTCAGTGTTAACACAAGAGTGCCCAGAACTGGAGTCTGTGGTGTAAATGTATGAACTTTACCCCCATAAACTGGCACGTGTCTTACACAGACAGATAAAAATCCACTGACCTAATTGTATATCACTGCTACAGTGGGTCACACAGTGCCTTAAGAGTGTGTGTGTGTGTGTGTGTGTGTTACCTGTGTTTCCCTGGACAGACAGCAGGTCATTGGTGACACCCCTCATGGCCTCCAGGGTGGAGTGTGTGACCTCGTAAGTGGGAAGGACAATGTCACGGGTGTCTGTGGAGCCGCACCAAGACAAGACAGGAACAGCATCCGACCTCCTCGTCTCCATCGGCCAGTCGCCAACATTGATGAAGAACTCCACATCAGGCACCCTCACCTTCAACAAAAAAATGATGAGTCCCAGGAGACTGAAATCAGCGATCCCACAATGCCATGTGCAGTCTCTCAGCAGTAATATTAATATCACACAACTTTACCTTCCTTGTTAGAGAGAGCAGCATTTCATCAGAGAACATCTTGAAGTCTGTGTATTTGCCCAGAGTGCGGCGGTACAGCTGGTTGTCGATGATGGCATAGTGAATGAGACCTCCTCTGTTAGAAAATCTCTGAGGCACTTCCTGTCTGATGTACTGCAGGTCAACGCTGGGGAAGGATTTAAAGTCCGCCAGAATCTGAGGCTCTTCAGCGGGACACTGCATCACACTATGCCAGGCGGAGGCATCGGGCTCAGGACAGTCACAGTATTCATGATAGACCGGACCTGAGCATGAAGAATATCAGTCACAGGACAAAACATGGTGACATTTGTTCCAATTATTCTCAGAACTAACTGAGCATTTTGGAGATAAATATATGAAACGGAAGCTGGTGTCAAACTCTTGCAATGAGACCTGTGTCAAAATGTAATGTTGACCACAAAAATATATGGTGTTATTTATGAAACAGTAGTGGTGTAGCATTTCTGAGACAGGATGTTGCACAATTCCTCCACGTTTCAATGCATGTTGTGTGTTTATTGAAGACAGGTTGTGACTGGCGTTGTCTAAAAATGATGTTAGAATACCAGAATATTCATTTACTTTGTGTAAGAATGACCATGAAAGGCTCATAGAAACTTCATTTTAAGACCAGCAGTCAACATACAAAGATTTGGACATTCAGGTGAAACTCTGTGGGTGTTCTTTTGCAGTACAGCCCTGTAGTGTGTGGTGTATGTTTGTCTTTAATAACTGGTTTCTTACATTGAGGCATTTCCTAAGAACTGCTGCGCATGTTGTCAAATTGGTGAAGATGTGTTCTTAATTTGCTTGTGTTTCGTCTATTTGCATGTGTTTTCTTCAGTTGCAGTGCCGTCAGCTCTCAGAGCCACCCAACATTTGCCTAAGGGTTCACATATTTTTTATAATCTACACTGTGAATGTTTGAATGATGTGTTCTATAAGGACAAGATCAATAAAATAATTTGTGTATTAATTAAAATAGATTGTGTTTGTTGATAACTTAGATGAAGATCTGGTCACATTTCAAGACAATAAAAGCAGATAATTCCAAAAGGTTCACTTATTTTTCTTGCCAATATAAATATGGACTTGACTAGAGATGCTGTGCCTGCGTTTCTTAATGCATGTTGCAACACGGACCTTGCATGATGTAGGGTGACATGGCAACTGGAGCATCATTGTGCAGGACGTCAATCTTCAGACCCTTCAGCGCTGTGCCGTAGAGCCGGTACCTCACAAGGAAGGACCCGTCTTCTCTGTCCAGAGGTGGGGGGACGTGGATGCGGATGTGCTCCTTCTTGTCCAGGGAGCTTATCTTCACTTTGAATGTGTCTTTACCTGAACAGCACACGTAAAGAGCATTTCAGTGACACCTACGACTTATTTCCATCTTGCTGCAGGGCTTAATGAACAGTATAGCCTTCCATTCAATTTTGCACAGATGCACCTAGCCCTGATGTTAGCTGAACAAACACACCCAAAGACTTTTTCTCATTGTTAAAACAAGCACTGAAACTGTTTGGAAGGCTAAGTGAGACACTGGTAATGATTATTGCACCGTGTTGACACGTTTTCGTTGCTAACAACACAAATTAGCTAGCTACGTCTATTGATAATATTTAGAAATAAATAATATATAGGTCAGGTGTTAGCTTAAAAATGATCCAACGGTCGTTTTGTTAGCTGTTTTGGCTAGAAAATGATCTACTAGCATTACGGTGATGCGATGTTTAACACAATGACATTTTTGAGCTCATGCTACGTGTGTAATCATTTACCTGGAGACAAAGTCAGGGTTTCTCCCTTTGAATTAACCGCCTGAATATAGAAGTAGCGGACCGGTAAAACCCTGTCGGGGTTCAGCCCCAGACCCCAGATGAGACATTTCTCTGGGCTGATTCCCTCACATTCACAGACCCCGAAGTTTATGCTAATAAATACTATAAAAATTACAACCCTACAAAATAAACCACTCTCATAAGGTTTGACTAAGTCTGCGCTACGCTCGCACACCATATTCTTCCAAATGCGAACTGTTCTACGTCTAAACTTAGTGAATATTGACTGTAAAGTTTTGGTTGAAAGTCCTACGCCGACATGTTGGTGAGGAGAAACACGCCCATTACCCGGTGATGCGTTAACGGGATGTCGGAAAAATGTTGCTTAGGGATTGTGAACGCCCCGTCAAAGAAAACTCAGTACAGTAACCAACCACTTAAGCTCCACTTATTCCTTTGCTGTGGAGATTTCAACCATATCTGACAAAATACTAGAGATAAAAGCCTAATTTGTAAAAATAAATAAATAAAAAAAATTAAGTCGTGCCACTACAGCGCCTTAAACGCTCATACTTAAAAAGTGGTTTTCTTTGATCTTATTGGTCTTAAGACAATTTAGCATAGACAAAAGATTATTTAGTGTATAAATTACATACAGTACATATTAATACATTAATATGTTTTAAATTCTGCGCTAATGATGTAGTCTGCTGCTGTTGTTTGTATCACTCTCATAGGTGATTTTAGATTAAATAACATTACAAATTAAACAATAATTTACCATAAATTTAAAAGAAAGTTCATTTTAGTTGCAGTTGTTCTATTTGAGTGGCCAATAGCTTAAAACACAAAGACTAGGATTACAATACATTACAATACAATACATTTGAGTAACTAGGCTAAACATACTGTATGCATTAAAAGCAACAGTGTTGTTTTTACACCTTCATCTTTATTTAACAAAAAGTTACATTTTGGCCTCAAAAACAGATTTTTGTATAAAAGGTAATATGATAGGCAATTTGATACTGTAAATAAAAGTACACCTGAATCCCTTGTAATTTTCATAGCAGTATTACTTAGTAATCTTGATGGCACTTAGTTGTTATAGTGTCACTGACATTAAAAATCTTGGATGACAAAAGCAGCGTGATCAGCATCAGGCATACATAGTAAACCCGTTTTGGATAGTATTAGACCATCAGCATGTTCATACAGTGATTTATGACTGAATGATTACAGGAAACAAAGCAGCTCTGTAGGTAACCAGAACCCTAGTAAGAAAAGATGTTTTCTGTTTTGTGCCCCAGCTTGTCTAGATTTGGCAGACAGGCATTCTGTATCATTGGTGGAGGACCACACAGGACAATAAGGACATCGGTGGACGGAGCAGGGAGGTGGTCTTTGATCATGTCGTAGGTCACAAATCCTGAACTGTAGCTCCAGTCTGGAAGACAAGACAAAAGAGACAGCTGACTCAGAGAAACTCATTTTCTACAATTTGCTGCAAAATATCAGATCTTTTTTATAGTTGTGAACATTCAGGAAAAAAAAAAACTGGTACATTTGTGACTTATTCACCAAAAAATCTGTCTTAGATGCATTTTTCACTTCCACTATAATAAATATTAAACACTTCCTCTTTCTATCATTTTCAGTTCATCTGTATTTGCCTATTGTCACAGCAGAGGGAAGCCTGTTGGTGAGAAGTGAGCAGAAGCAAAAGCGGATTTCTTCTTCCCAGCATTAAGGGATAGGACGTTCAAAGAAAGAATTAAATCAGTAATGAAATTATCTGCCTAGTTTTTGATCTCTAGGGAAAGATAACAATTTCAGCTGCTAGTGTCAATGAAGTCATTAATAACGAGAAACGTGAGGCGATTTGTTCATCTTGTGCTTTCATCCACAGATAGTCATCGCTCCTTCCATGGCAACCAAATAATGACATTGCTAATGAAGAGCAAGCACACCTCTTCAAATGAATAATGATCAAGGGCCAATGGGTTTCTTTTCTGTGTGGAAGCAATGAAGATGCAACAGGACAGAATACAAGAGCCGTTCGAGGCCTTCACAACAGAGATTATGTAACAATATTATGCTCATTAATTTCTGCTCACTTTCAGGATTATGCAAACGAAGACATGAGCGTTTTGCTAAGCTACTGTAACACCCGGGTGGAGCTATCTCCCTCCTTGGCCTGCAAGGATTTTCCTCCAGCAGAGGAGTCTTTGTTTGGTTTCTCACTTTGAATATTCAAGAGTGAAGGACTGGGCTTTAAGATTTAGTCATCATACAGCCTGGCACTGCACTAATACTCACATATACATCCTGTATGGTAACATGATAAAATTAGACATGGAAAATGTTTTCACCAGATCCCACATTATGAGAAGTAAACATTTCATTTTGACTGTGAATGAGAGACTAACAATCTCTCAACCGGCTGAGATTGCTTCACCTGTGTCCAAAACAAATTTCATATCATCAAGTGTCAATTTCTTGATGACTCTTGACTCTTTCTCTTTAAAAAAAAATAAAAAAGAAGGAGGAGTTATAAGGACTAAAATCAAAGACTTGGTGCATCGGTTAAAAAAACAAACTAAAAATCCCACACATCTGGCCACATGAACATGACTTACATGCAGATTACATCCAGCAGATACAGAGTCCTGTTCCTGGCCTGCTGATATGTGTAAGTCCAACCCTGGAGGAATACACCCGGCTCTTTAGCTGCTAAATGCTCCACTATCCTCACCATCTATTGTAGTTCCTAACTGTGTCTGTCTGTCGTTTGTTGCTGGGCAGGTAGCACACATCTGCCAACTGCTGCGTAAAATGAGACCGAAGAGAGACTGAACCAAAACAGTAAAGTTGTGAGCCATAAAACCAAGACAATTAACTGAAAACACTCTGTGCAGAGCTGACGAGAGCTCCCGAGATGGGTGAGAATTTATCAATACAAGGACTCCTTTCACGTTGTCACACAGAACAGTTGTTTGCCTAAAAATATTTGGTAAAATTTAGTTTTTTTCTTGCAATATACTAAAATCATGGTAGGCTCTGTCTCACGTTAATGTGCTGTGGTGACTGTGCTTTTCAAAATTAGGACCACATACAGTATAACCTGTTGCTTCATTGGTTAGAGGTAATAATAATATCTTTAAGATACCTGTTCTGTATGCTAAATGTTTCACCTTTAATACATGGTGCAGCTTATATGGAGTAGAAGCCCACCAGTCCATAAATGAGGAAATCCTTCCTTACCCTGTGGAGGTTTGTCAAGCGTAAACCAGAGCTTGACTTTGTCGGGATGATTCTTCTTCACCTCCTCCAGCTCCTCCCTCAGCAGGATATCCTTCTCAGTCTGAGAGGGAGCGAGTGAAAGACATGTTATTTCTCCAGAGTATTTTTCATTTATGTACAGTAATACTCTTTGACAATAACACACTAGAAAAGATCCCCCAAAACAAAATACTGCACAGAGCTGACCTGGTTGGCAAATATGAGCGAGCACCGGGTGTTGTCATTGGGATCTGCTGTGATCCTGCGAATTAACTGCAGCATGGGAGTGATACCTGTGATAGAAAAAGACTGAAGTTGGTCTTAGGGGATGATTTATATCTAACCGAGGGGAAGACAGGGGAGTAAAATTGTCTTTTCTCATTTTTCAATAAAATTATATCGTCAACAGCGGGGCCGCAAACCAAATTTCATCAAATGGTTATTAAAGTTAAACCCCTGGACCATTTTGAGTGTGATATTAATCTTTTAAGAGAAAAATTAAACTATAATCACACACTTGTAGAACTGTTCCCCAGTCATCACCTACAGAACAATCCCTTTATCTAGAGCACAACAAGCAGGATATTTCATTCTGCAGAGATTTCATACATTATTGCACATCAGAGTCACTCATAAGAGTTTAATAGAAATAATAAAAATGTAAATGAACCTGTTCCTCCTGCGATCATTCCAACGTGTTTACACTTCCGAACCTTGGGCTCTGACTTCTTGTCCGGTCGGATGGAAAACTGACCTTGTTGGAAGAGAGGAGGTCTCAGTGTCAGGCAGCCAAAGCGGTTCAGAGTTATATTGTACCACAGTGACATCTGCTGGTGACAGAAAGTAACTGCAAATCTATGTAAATATACTGTACACAATTATATAGAGTACCTTTACTATTCTTTCTTTTCTTTTTTTCCTTTTCACAAACACACGTGCCATACCATTTCCCTTATACACCAGCAGTCCGCTGGGTCCTCTGAAGTCAATGGCATCTCCGATCGCCATGTTGTCCAGGTGCTGGGACATCTTCCCTCCCTCTGGGAAGGAGGGATGACAGTTCTTGTAGTACACCTGGAGAACAGGTGTTTACAAGGCATTAAAATGACCTCTTAGCATTGCTAGCTAACCAATAGTTTGTCCAGCTAACAAAACAATTTTAATTTTACCTTCACCACTAGGTCAACATATCCCTGGTCCTCATCACTGGAGACTGGGGTGTAAGCTCTGACCACCAGACTGCCGTTCACCTTGGCTGACAGGTACACATGCTGACCTGGGAAAAATGTTAAGGCATAGGAGAAGGACTGTGATGTGATGACATTAAGGTGTATTTGAGCTCCATTAACAAATTCTCTCACTTCGTCTTTTGAAGGGCTTATGTTTTACTGCAGTCTCTGACTTTTTAACATTTCTAATCAAACACATTTTCTCTAAACGTCATTGATCCTTTGATGTGTTGCAGTTCAGTCACTGTCATGCACACTCAGAAGAAGCTAAAAACTTGATCTTCTCATTTATTGTCACATTTGAACATACTTTGAATCAAAGAAGAAGAAGAAGAAGGACAAACGCTCATAAGGCCAGAGGTGCTGGACCTTCAGAAGAAAAAGAACTACTGTGCAACCGCTGTTCTGAGTGTGCAGACAAGTGTCTCAGAGATACTTTGCACAATCTTAATGGACTGGCAGAAAATCCTTCTAGTGAGGAATTTTATAAATTAGATTAAGTATGAGAAAAGAAAAGAAAACAAGGGACTTACCAATTGGTAGTCCAAGGATATGAGCTCCAGATGGAAGGCCAAACCGAAATTTCTTTGTGTCATGACTGATTTCCTGTACAAGGACACACACCCAACTTAAATAGTACATACACTTGCAAGATCTTGATTTATGTTAGTTTGTACATCAATAACAAATAAAATGAAATGCAGCCTACTCAATCCTTTCAGTATTACACTCCCATAACATTGTCAGACTCATGATGGACAGTTTAAAGCAGCTATTTGTTAGTTTTGCTAGTGTTATATAGCCAGCGTTAGCATTAACAGCTGTTCACTTACCTGTGTAGAGGAAACGTTTCGAGTTCAGCATCAGACTTTATTCCTTTTTCTCACCAAGAGCTGTCTCCAGTGGTGGAAAGCAACCCTATTGTTTTGCTTCTCCTATCCCTTTTTTCATCTACTGAAGTTAGCACGCTAACCAGCTAACTCCAGCCTGACCGGCCCGACTTCTCACTTTCCGATACCGAGTCACTGTGGTGTCCAATCTGTCTTGAAGTAGTAGCGCTGCCCAGAGGTCATATTATAACCTCTTGTTTTGTAAATGCAACTATGGCTGAGATCTTTGCAAGACTGGTAAGTAAACAGCTGCTAATGCTAACGTTGACTATATAGCAATAGCAAAACTTACAAATAGCTCCTTTAAAACTATAAGGATTGGAATTGATTCAGCAGAACCAGAGATAGGCTACTATTTGTTTTTAATCTACACTTTCTTCTTCCTGGTCAAAACCTGCCACATATTACCCACAGTGCACCTGGTCTGCAGTTCAGTTAGAGATTCAGGTGTGATATGCTAGTAGAAGCTAATGTAGCTTCGAGCCTCTAACCTCATGAAGAGATTAGGAGTGGGATCAAACTTGTAGTCTTCAGCCTCAAATGGTGACATCACTTCAGTGACCGTTGGCAAATAATTATCGGACTTCCTGCAGCTCCCTCTGTAGCCACAAAAGGTTTTATATAACTTTTTTCACATAGTATGCCCCGAGACTGGTAAACACACAGGTGGAATTTAACTTTTTTAGAATTAATTTGCATTGTTTTGACTAGTATGTACTCTCAGAGAGCATAGGCTTTATCACCGTGATGTGGAAATGAAACTTTGTCATTGTTATTTGTTGCAAACTCAAAGTGGAAAGAAAGGAGAGAATTAATGTGAGTGCAGATCTTATTTTCTGCATCAGTGCATGAGTTTGTGTGTAATCTACCTGTTTGTTTATAAGTGGAAGTGAATATTTGACCACAGGGTCCTGCAGAGTGACAGGTAGCTTCTTCCCTCCTGCAGAACCTCGCAGGACAAAGTACAGCACCGTCACTACCACCACGGAAAAAGCCGCCACCACTGGGATCACCTGCAAGACAAAGATCATGGACAGTTTGGACGATTATTAGTTTTGTACAGAAGAAATGGTTTCCATCAGTGTACATTAAGCATTTTGCTAATTTAATATGCATTATGAGTGACTTACACCACACTACAGTTAAATGACAAAACAGAGCAGAGAAATAAAATCTCAGGGTTTGGGTAAGATCAAGCAGTTCTTCAATGATCAGGTACAAAAAAAAAAGCAATACAGGGGAGTAATTAAAAAGGGAAATAAAGTGAAGGTCCATTCTCACCAAGTTCTCGTCCATGGTTTCAAAATGTAAAGTGTGTCAGAGCCTCGTTCTCACAAAGCCTGAGAGATCAGAGTCTGCACAGAGTCAAGGCAACGATAGCCTTCACACACACACACACACGTACACACAGAAAGTAAAGGGCCTTTAAAGGGGTGTGGCTTCCTGCTGGGGGGAAGGTCACACACGGTCCAAAGCACCAATAGGACGGCAGATATGATCATGGCACTACATAGTACAGAGGTGGTATGCAGGCAGTGAGGAGCAGAGCCTTGAAATCACACCACAGGCAGAGGGGAGGGGACACCGACACACAGAGAGACATTACATAAACTCTAGAGCTGTTGAGACCCGCTGGAAGAGAAACTAGTTTATTCATCACAGAGAGAAAAATGACAAGTCTTTGCATTTTCAAAGTCGATGAAACATACAATAGAATTTATTTTTAAACAATCTGCATTTTAATAAAACGATAGAAAATTCTGTGATCCAGTAAATAAATAACTAACAGTTCTGATAATGGAAGAGGACTGTGAGTTCTTAGAGACTTACAGACATTTCTGAATAGTGTTTGAGTGACTGCAAAGTAAATTATAAAAGCACGTTTTTTGAACAGTTTTGAGAGGAGCAGTGGTGGAGGAAGTATTCATATTTATTACTTCAGTAAAAGCAGTAATACCACACAGTACTCTGTCACAAGTAAAATTCCTGCATTGAAAATGTTACTAAAGCAAAAACACATAAGTATTATTAGAAAAATTTACTTGTGTTTTGTGTATAAAATTTTAAATAGTAAAGTTACTAGTGACGGATGTCGCAAATAAATGTAAGGGAGAAAAACCTCTTCTGGATTCATCCTCTGGGGACCATGGATGTCTGTTCAAAATCCAGTAATTGCTGAGCTATTTCAGTCTGGACAAACTGACTCACAGACCAACATCACCACTCCCAGATGTAGCATGGCTAAAAACAGGATGACAAAATGATATAACGCTAACCTGTGGTATTTATTGTCACATTAAGAGTGTGAAAACGAGTTAGCAAGTGAGCAGAGAAGTGGAAATACTTAAACTAACAGATGAAGTGTCTGACCTCTGCCACGCCAAGTGATAGCAGCATGAATGTTAACTGGACCAAAACCTAGTGAAACCTATGTTTAAATGCCAAACATACCAGGATCTCTACAATCTTGTATGAAAAACAATACTGTAACAATAATCATGTTTAGTTGAGGCTCCAGTTTAATTGGATATAAAAGTCTGTGTTGCATTCTGTGAATCCTTCTCAGCCTTTATATTCAACAAAACACTTTGGTGATCTACCTTCAGTTCAGCCTCAGTCATCCTCATCTGAGCTTAACGCACCAATGTACCACCAGTGTTATTTCACATGTTACACATGTTGAAATGTACAGTACGTCCAGACAGACGCCTCCTTCTAGCAGGTTACTACACAGTCCCCGAGGATTCTTCACTATAGTCTTCATCATCTGAGCCCATCCTCTGGTCCACATCACCCCGGTCGGACAGGGCTCTGCTGCTGGACTGATGCACATCTGGGTCAGCGACATCCAGGCTCACTAAAACACACAGAATTCAGTAAAAAAAAAATATTGTACAACGAACTACAAACTATTTAACACAGATATAAACTGTGTATAGTATATTTGTATATTGTATTTTGTAAGGTAATTGTCGCAAATTATAAATAAAGCATAGTCTGAACCTGTTGTTTGTGATTCCATAATGTCCTATGACCTTTATCAGTTCATGCCAACTGTGATGCATGAACCTGAAAGGCAAAATTACATCATGGGTCTAAGATTTTTCCTTTTATGTTGTGCTATATTCTGCCGAATTGTTATTCCTGAGTTGCCACTAAGAATATTTTCAGGCAGAACTATTTTGATTTGGAACAAGATTGTAATTTGTCTGTATATATAAGTATACAGACAGGTCACATAGGAAAAATCTGTGATATAAACTAGCTAACATTAACTTTTCTCATACAAAATTCATAAAAAAAAAAAAAAGGAGAGAAAGATGTTTGCTTTTGTCAAGAGAACGACCGACAAGTTCCTCAGTACCATCAGGCACTAAGCCACAGCTACAGCAGTGGAGCTGCTTAGCTTGTTCGCACCAGACAGAGGAAGTCACACTACAGCTGAGCTCACACAGTGAACATGTGGTCCGTGTGAACGGGTGAGATGCAATTTTTTGGTTTCTGACTTGTAAAAGCAGCTAAAACACCAGGTGGAACCAATAACATTAACAATGGTTGAATTCCATTTAGGTGTGTCCATTTCAGGGCCTTGGTAATGTAGATGCTGGCTCCCTGTCACTACTCACTAGGACACGTAATGGAACAGGGCTCGTTAGTGTTATTAGTTCCACCTGTGTCCGTCCTGCAACGACACAGGTGGAGAAAAAAAGTCACTCTCCTGCTGTGAGTCTGTTCCTGTTTCCAATTTGTGTTGCTGCCAAGGTGAGAAATAAAAATGAAAGAGTCGGTTTACGAAAAACTAAAGTTACTAAAGAGGAACACATGGACAAAATCCCATTAATCTACAATAAGACTGAGACAGGCACATAAATACAATGAACACCATTGTTATACGTATTGCTGTCATCCCACTACATGATGACCTCATGTATGAAATATATGTGTAATGTTCAAAAAATCTTTAACCCTATCCTTGAGCCCTGACAACAGCCATTCTCACATAGATTATACTTTATTATTATTCACGTGACTTTGTTATTTTTTGATTAATTCTTTTCACTGGTTTCACTTTAGTTCCTATAAAGTGTCACTAGAGGGCGCCCTGTACTACAACCACATGTCTTTTACACTGTATGTCGGCCCAACAGTTCCCTATAGTTTTCTACTGACAGCAAGATTTGTTATAACATTATATATATATGGAAGGTCACTTCCTGTGGCAGGTGAAATCAACATTTATCTATGTTGTATGTTTCACAGATGACTCCTGACCTAGTGAAAAATCATTTACAGTACATAAGAAACTACAAGCATGCAATCAGTGACTACTTTGATCATTATTAAGCATAAATTATGGCTATTATATTCATATTTTAAGGCAATGTTTCTCAATCTGGGGGTCAGGACCCTCTTATGAGGTTGTAAAATAAATCTTTGCAGTGAAACGGTCGATTAAATGGGACACAAATAGACATAACTTGTTTTTATAGGGTCATAACCATGGGTTTAAGGTATCTACTTAATTCTTTTATCTACAGTATGTTGTGAAATGAATTTTAGGCAGATAAACAACATTTCTCTGCAGTTGAATAACTTGATGAAGAGGAATTCGAGGGTAATAATATCATATTTGAGGGGAAACACATGAGCTGTGTGGCCATAACACTGGGTGTCTTGCTGCATCATGTGATACTCATCTCTGTCTGGTGGATGTCCAGCGTGTGTTGCGCTCACTGGCACTTTGACAGGCTGGTTAAAACACAGAACTATTGTGTACGGAGTTGGTGTGCAGTAGTTTCCTCGACTGCACCTCGTCAAGTCTGAGTCATTGCACACATTAGTGGGCAGAGCTTCCAGTTTCACAGTCTTGGCAGAGGGGGAGAGGGGAAAAAAAAAAGCCTTAAACAAAGCAGCGTCACAGATACAACTGGGTGTGGTGAGGGTGAACCCTGGAAACACACAGAGAGAGAGAGAGAGAACTGACAGGTTTACAACTAAACCGGGTGCTGACGAACACAAGGGGGGGACAGAGAGAGAGAGAAGACAGTTCACAAAAAACGAGGAGCGAGTCAGATGAAGGGAGTAGAATAAAGTTTTGGAAAAAGCTGACTTCAGATGGGACTCATGAGAAATTTACAGTCTCATGAAAAAATGCTGCCACTCTCGTTCTGTGGGAACCCATCAGACTATATAACCCAGTTTGACTCCTGACTCAAAGAGTATAAAGAAACACAGATTAATAATGAATCGCCTGCTGAACAGTTGAAGAGCACGACAGAAAGTAATTCACAGAGGAAATGAGAGAAACTAAAGGTGGACTGCTCTTTCTCTGAAGGAAACACAGCTGTAGATACGCGTTTCTCCGGTCCTGTTGTCACCACTGGCTTCCTGTTGAAAGATTTAATCTCTCTGGGAAGGATGAAGATGAGCAGCAACGTTGCTACTGACTAGCTCTCTCATGTGTACTGTAGTATGGAGATGCAGGTGCAGAGCAGAGGATCCAGAGGATGTGGATGAGGATCACAAATAAACTACAAAAGGTTTCACTGCTGCAGGTTTTTTTGTTTTTTTGAAATGAGGAAGCTCAAAACTGATATTCTGGGCCGGAAATGCCAGAAATCATTAGAAAAGTAGAAAAGTCATCAGCATCCTTTCCTATATTATATCACTGTGAAGGTGGACAAGCTTTTGAATCAGTATTCAGTAGCTGCATTAAAACTCCACACTAAACTCAAGCATAAACAACGACCATATTGCCAGTGTTGTTGTCTTAATACTGAAGCTCTGATTCACTTTTAAAGTGGCTGAAAATGGAGCTGACAACAAAGGCTCCACAATGTGTTAGTTCAGTGACAGAAGTGAGATTTTTTTTTCCCCCCATGGAGACACGGACTGAATCGTACTTTTGTACCATTTCTGGAACAGCTTGCACTTCAATATTTAGGACTTGTTTCTCAGAAAACACAGAGAAAGGGACAGAGGAGAGAAAAGAGAAAGGAATATAATCTGTATTAAAACAAGTAAAAGAAGTTTTATAGTCAATATTCGATACGTTTACAAAGACAGATATGTTAAAATCTATGTGGGATTTTGAGCGTGTGAGGTAGTTTTAAGGAGCATGTGTGTCAGTCAGCTGTTAATATATAGTTGAAGGCCTCTCACGTCTCAGTTGTAACTCCAGTGTTACATGTCCCATTGCTGCTCTAAATGCCACTTAGGCTGCTTTGCTGAAACCCACTGGTGGAGAATCATATTAAACCTGAGACAAACGTAGAGACTGGCTGTCTCAAACAACTGCTTCTCGACATTACATGGACCATAATTCACTCAGGGAGTTGACTTCAGTCACATGTTTACAGTTGATCACCACAGATC